TTTACAAACTTTCTATAAATTCGCACTTAACCAGAATAAGTTCGCGGAAACTCGCATAAATTTCGTTCGCCATTCTACAATAACATTTTAAGTATTCCGTGTGGCTAGTTTAAGTTGTACCTTTGTTCAAAGTATGTTCATTTAATGCATAATATTTCCAAAAATAACTTCTAAGGCACAGAATAATGTTTTTTCAAAGATAACTGCATTCGTCGCAAAAAGTTGTCGTTAATCTCTAAGATTTTTATACTATTATATTTAATATGTGTGGTACGTGGGCATACTAAAAGCTTCTGTAACTGGCCACTTAAAAAAAAGCAATTACGGAATTCGAAAATACAACTCACTGGGAACGTGATAATTTTCAATTTACAAGGTTGTCATTAATTTGTTTTTTCATAGTGACGTTTAGATAATGGTGAGTCACTAATTCAATGAAAAATTTAAAAGTCAACAAGAGAATTGGAAGAGACTTCAGTTGGAATTTGGTGATTAAGCCCCATGTCGCCGTTCTGTGTATTCGTGTTTCGGAAAACTTACAGGTAGACGTTAACATCTCCATGACGATATTTCTATACATCGACTGCCGTTATACCTATAACAGTATATATAAACCAACATTGGGCCTGTATACAGCTGTTTGAAACTGACATAATGACTACTAGTCAAATTCATATTGAGGCACTCAAATTACGCCAATTGGTGTAGTTGTATTGTAACTCTATAGACTACTATCTCTTTCCTTATCATACGTTCTTATCATCTGTCACATTCACTTTTTATGTCATGTAATGTAAAGCGGAAGAATTTTTTAACGCGGTCCAGTATGGATATGCACCATCGTTATCAAAACATGATTAATTCATACTGTATTAGGCGAAGGAGTGAAGCAGAAAAGCAGAGCCAGAAAGAAAAACCCCGTCGGTAAAATGGGTATCTCCATTTGTAATGTCATGATTATAACGACATTAAATATAGCGTCGTTTGAAAGTCAATGGGCAGTGGCTGCAGATAGCTAATTAAACTCTCGCTTTCCCAGAGTGTTGGAAAAAGTTCGCGAAAAGCGTTCTCGCAGCAAAGTCGCTCTCGCATATTTGAAGGCACAACTGACGACGAATTCACTTCATAGCTTCGCACCTCACGACATAATTTTATTTCAGAATATCAAAGATGTGCGTCGAGGTTTATGATTTGGGAGCCAGAAAGCGGCACTGAGTGCCAGTGACCATTGAAGATATCTACTGAAGACTCTTCGACTATCTTTAGGATCCACCATTTGACACAACGTGGAACCATTCACGAACCAAGAATACTAAAATGTGTCCAAACATCTTAAACATAGTGAGCGAATGCATCGAAAAACAATTAAATTAACAGCCTTTACGTGCTTTGCTGAGTAAAAGCTTCCTCTGTATAGAGGACATTAAGGCAAAGACCACCATGCGGCCCCACTGCAGATTGGCGGACTTCACATATCTTCGAAACATTTTTTTTGTTATTTCCAAAATATGCAGGTTTGTGATAAGTCAGCACGTAAAATAAACAATTTCATTGGTGCTGGCACCGGGGAGCGAACCCTGGTTGCTCGAGTATATTGAATTAAAGCGCCCGGACAATGAGCTATCACGGTTCACAAGAAAACAAATAATGCATCATATGTAAATATAACGGTGCTATCGGTCTAAACTCTGAAACATGAGTTCCCATGACCTATGGTATTGTAATGAAATGAGTAAATTTAACACAGTAAAAAAATGTTTAACTGTTATACACATTATTACTTCCATAATTCCGACCTAACTAAGGCTTTTAAAATTTATTTCTTTTTAGTCCCCCTACCTCCAATTGAAGATGTTAGAAGATCGTTTTATTAAAACTGAAAGTAATTCTTACAATATTTTGTTGGTGAAAAAATTGTGCAGTGTAAAAAAGAAATTAAACATGCTTTTTTACGTTACTTTGTTAACAACGCGTGTATACATATAAGTATGTACATGCATTATCCATAGCTAATATATGTCATTGTTTATCTCAGTTCCTGGAATAATTTAATCAATGACTAAGGTGAACTAATAAAGAATCAGCCAAGTAAGTCTTCCGAGAAACGCAGTTACGCAGTAGTCAATACTGATAAGGCGGTTTTGTTTAGTGTACACACATAATTGTTGTTTCTCCGTTCGTCATGGCAGCGAAGGAATGATTTATGGAGATTTGTTTTTTTATATTAATCGTATTCAAGCGAGAAGGCGTATCTCCTGATGTTAAGTGAACGCCTTAACCTTGCTTATTAAGAAATAAAAAATGAATAACAAAGGCCATTTATAAAAACTGCCGAAGTCTGTGATTTCCTCAAATTGATTTCGGAACGCAAAATACTTGAAATGAATTATACCCGCTTTTACCTCCAATAAGTTATTCAAATCAATCGTGTTTCTTAGTGTTGTCCAAATTTCTAAATTATGTGTTTCTTATATTCTCATAACAGGCGAAAAACTTTTGATGAAGGATTCACATGTAAGCACCCAGCCTCTATCCGAACATCTTATAGGCGGAATTTCAAATACTTCTTACGCTTACTCTCGAGACAAAAAGGTATCCTTTATTGATAAAATTTCTGTTAGACCCTAACCTAAGTTTCCAATTTCAGGGTTTTTGGTTCTGGTTTGTATGTCATCCTGTAGTAGTCTAATATGACATTTGAGTAACAAAATATGTAGAACAAAATAATAGTAGATTTGGGTCCGCCAACCATACTTTATACTCACGTATCCTACTTTATTTTTGGTAAATATACTTTATACTTTTGCAGCAAAATAATACAATTTCAATATTTACTGTGATGCATAAAATAAAACACGTTTGCATCTATATCGATAATTACTGAACTTTCATCGATACTTTTAACTTGAAACATGACACTTTCAACTTAGAAGCTTTTGCTGTTAATAATATTGTATGATTTACCAAAAACATTTTTATCCCAAGAAAAGTGAGTGTGTGCTAGACGCATACAAAAACACTACATCTTTAAGAAATATATAAAATTTTCGAAAATACTGTATTTTTCAGCTTATCGTGTTTGTCAGCTTGTTTACCGCAGTTGAATAATTTACGAAATTAATGCATCGACTATATCCAAATACAGTTCAATAACATAATACACACCTCGACGGCCGTTGGTCTTATAAAACTACATATTTTCCCCGACAACTGAAATATACACCCAACGAAAAATTTACTGCCTACCGCTGATTACTTAATTATTTTTTTTTATATCTCAATGACTCCAAGAACCATCTGTTTTAATATCTCAACTATTTTAAATATTATTCTTAAAATTGAGCACTTCCCGATAGTTGTGTCCCGTGTATGTACTGCGTCAAAGTTGCGAACGCAAGCGTATGAATATTTATAAGAAGCAATGAAAAATTTTTTTATGTACACCATGACATGTACACCTACTTCAAGTAGTAAAGTAACACAGCTCGCCAAAGACCTACTTTATACAGAGTATTAGGGCATAATTTACTATGTGATCCTAACGCGGTTTGGCAGAATTCACCACATATCTTCAAAATATTATTTACTATTAGTATATCGATACTTCTTCTTGCATATTATCGATAATATGCAAGAAGCTCACGATGTTTTCCACCGCTCATCACGTTGTAAATTGCAATTAACAACTTCACTGGTTCTAGCACCGGGATTGAAACGAGGTTGCTTGAGTATATTATTGAATTAAGCAATCACCCGGACACCTACTTCGATATATCTAGTATAAAATAAATAATAGGTTATAATCTATTTTGAAATGAACTCCAACATATTCATTTCGGAATACGGACTAATGCCTAAAAAACACAATATACAAGTGTTTAACAAATATGGTTCAATTGAGGCAATATAATTATCTATATTCTAAATTTGTGAAAGACAAAACAGTTATTTACTTTTTTCTTCTTTGTTTACCAGTGGATTTTTTTATTGCTTATTATGGATGGTCATCATCATAATGATCCATACATTTTTGAATGAACTCCAACATATTCATTTCGGAATACGGTTCTATTGGCTTGCTTTTTTACGAGCAGCCGAATGGCTGACGGTAAAAAAGACGGCAACTCTCCTTGGGAATGAACACCAAGATCCGGACCAAACGCAAACCTGTCGATCACTCTAATTCTTGTTACGTGATGGAAATCGAACCCACGAGCTCGGGCACCGAAACAAATAGCTTAGCAGAGATGCACGGAGCCATTATTTCGTGTAATCAATAAAAAAAATTAAACAGTTTTTTCCCCTACATTTTTTACTAAGGTTTTTTATTAAGGTATTACATGTTAGGGTCTCAGATATCTATCTCTATGAAGAAAATAGATAGATAAAAATTAATACATATTTTTAATTTTTATCAAATTTTCAATAAATACATTGAGAAATAAGATTGAATTTTCACCTAATTTCAATCACTAGGTAAACACTAATTTTATATTCACACATTTAAATCTGTATTGCTTTCGAAAGCACTTTTGAGGAATAAAAAAAAAAAAAAAAAGAAGTGGCTGGAAATTGACGAATAAATATACAAAATTATATATCTGTTTGTAAATATGTACTAGTTGACCCGTGTAAATATGTATTTATAAATGAAAGGTATCTTATTTTGAAGAATAACGGTAAAATATGTCTACTTCGATACCTTTTTCATTTAAACAAGTTGTCAGTAGATGGCATTATCATACATAAAATTTTTACACGGAAAGTTTTTAGCACCGGCAAATATAGGCTTTAGTGTTGTTTGAATCATTAAATTAGATTAAGAATTTATGGCGTACAGACAAAAACACCTTTGGTAAATAAAGAACATAGATTAAACTGTACTCTGTGTTACTAGTACGATACGGTGAATAAACCGTCCGCCCTTGAAAAGTCCACAGCGTTATCGCTGCCTGGCAACCGCGGACAATCCGTTTGTACGAACGAGAATAGCCACCCACCTGTGCGCGAGATCTCTCTTATCAAACCAGGTGCTGTGCATAGTGGTGAGCGATTCGGCGAAGCTGTCCAACTCCAACTCACTCTTGTCGCTCCTCACTAGCGGCTTGTCCACGCCGACTACCGACTTGTCGGGGATTTCTATGGCTTCGTCGCCAGCTAGGAACGTCACTACCGGCCTCCGTTTGGAGGAGGAGTTTGCGCGTGCGCGTATCTCGCACTAACGGCCGGTTTCTGTAACCCTGATCATTGTAGGTGTCAACTAATCAGCTGCCAAATGACTTTTCAAATTTCATTTTAGTTGCCAAAAAGATGGTTAAACTCAGAGGATCTTCTTAATGATAAGAATGATCTTCTTAATGATAAGAATGATCTTCTTAATGATCAGAATGATCATTGAAAGAAGTGAAAGCCGCTTGACAGCTGATTAGTTGACATCTACAGTGATCAGTGTTTCAGAAACTGGGCATAAGACTCTTCTATTCATACAATTTTAATGCTATACAATAATAACTTTTTTAAAAAACACTACAAACATGTGATAATTAGTGCGTTTAGATTTAATTAAGTGATTTTATAAGTTCTTTTAAAAAGTTTAATCCATACTTCCATACTAATATTATAAATTGCGAAATTAACTCTGTCTGTCTGTCGCGCTTTCACTCCAAAACTATTTAAACCGATTTAAATGAAATTTGTTACACAGATAGCCTAGATAGATCTAGAGCCTGAGAAAGGACATAGGCTAGGATATTTTTTAATTGGAACCAAGTGTTGTAAAGGGTTGAAAGATATTTATTTAAGGGCTTCAAGGAGAGCGAAGCCGAGGGAGAAAAGCTTGTTTAAAATAAATTGTAAACTACATAACAATTTAATTTTATTAAATTTTATCTAAATTTGTAATAAAAAAATACATTGTATTCATTGTAATAAGAGTTATAAAATACTTTTTTATTCATAACCATGAATGGAGATCAAATGAACTTGTTGATCAAATGGAAATGTTTAATTTTATTCAATGTGATTAAAATAATCCATTCCTTAAAGTAAAGGGAATAGTTGAAAAAGACATTAAAACATAATCTAACAAAAGTCTGGTTATTCAATGCTGGATATAAACTATATAGTTTTCAATCAGTGTATATATATTAATATATGTACAATGATTGAATTATTGAAAATATTGTCATAATAAACAATAATTTCATTATATAAATGTATTAGTTTGTTAATAACAATAAATAACCCCCTGTATAAAATATATAAATGTTACATAAAATTATTTCATGGATAATATTGGATTTTGTTTTGATTTTAAAATTGAGACTACCAGTATTCATGGTCATGGGAAAGATATTTAAATTATTTCCATTCATTAACTATTTATTTCACTCTAGAAACTCGTAGTAAGTTACTGAGCACACCTACAAAGCTGTCTAGAGTAGTGATTGAGAATTACAAGAAAAATTACTTTAATTAATTAATTATAATTCAAAAAACTTACCTGTGTTCGACTCTTCGATAATATTTTTTTGACAAAACTTGACTTTCTTGTTTCACAAAAAAGTCCTTACTTGTAAAACTCTCCATTTCTATATAGGTACTATAGTAAGTTAAATTATATGACGGTTTAAGTGTTCTTTGGTTTCTTTGTAGTCTTAAAATTGCACCCAATAATTTATACATGCATTACATATCTACGCTATATGAATGTCACTGTAAATGAAAAACATATGTTTTTTTAAATATTTCATTTCGAAAAAGTTCAAAAATAGTTGTATTTTTACAAAATCATAAGTATATTTGTCGTGTAAATTGTACGTTTTTAAATTTACTCGATACTAATTTTAGATTTGAGTGTTTAAATGAGTCATTACTTATTTAAGATTAAATACATAAACTCACCAATATAAATGCTGTGATTTTGTAATTCGATCACAACACGAAATTAATTATTTACTCCTATCTCCGTTCATTTCCACATGTAATTGTTCATTAAATTGTGCTCTGAATTTTTATCGGCTCCGCTTTCTGAACTAAATCAACTAAATATAACATTAAACTTATGGCAATATTTTTATAGATAAAATAAATTAACCGTGACTAGGATTGCAACTGTCATGTTTAATTTAAAAATTTTGTTGAGTTACATTAATACCTAAAAATAATTAGAATACTATAGATTTTAAATCATATTTTTTCGTTATTTCGTAATATTTTTTTACATAAAGTACTGTTTTTTTTTTATTATGATGTAAAGCTGTAATAGGTGTAATAGGTTTTGATCATTATATTCTTTAGCTTCGATCTTAGTCGAATCGTACTAAATCTCGATGAACCAATAGGTAATCTACCTCTCGTTAAAGATAACGCGTACATGAGCTTATGCGCTGCCCTATGCAACGCGGAGGGCCGTAACAAGCTCGTTGGTTCTGCCTAGCTCAAGAGATAATAACAAATTGATGCACGACGACGACACGTAGACGTCATCCGCTCCGTGGTAGCTCTGCGACTCCTATAAGTGACTTATGGAAAATCTAACACAGGATAGGGCGCAATGCGACCAAAAGGTCCCTCGAATAGAGGTTTAAGCCTATTGATACACTATCATAATACATACACAGGTTCAACCCACTCTTGGATTAGGGTTGATGAGGATGTAGTTATAAGGAAGAGGATGAGGATGAGGATTTTTTTAGAAAAGAAATTGAGGATGCGGATGAGGATGAGGATCTGCTATGAGGAAGAGAAAGAGGATGAGGAAGAGTAGGAGAAATAAGTACAACATAATAAAAATATTTTTTTTGGGCAAAATATACATTATTAACGTTTTACGATTAAAACAAAACCTTCGTATTTTTTGAAGATAATAACAAATTACTTTTATGGGAAAAGTTTTTATTTATTATTTTTTTGTTAAAATTAGTGCTAAAAGGATTAAATATTTATATTTAAAATTTATTTCTGGTAAATTGAATTTAATAAATATTAATTTAGATAGTGTTTCTCCTGATAAATGGGTTCGTAGCTCATCGTAAACCAGCACCACTAAAAAGGCGTTCACTGGGAACACTTGATGGAGGGGCTGATAAATACTGACCTATTACTCCATAAAGTTAAAAATATTTTGGGTTTACTTTCCACCATGAAAGACTGTCTCCAGTAATATTCAGTCTCTTTCCTTTAATATAATCAGCTAACAGTGACTTAACTAAAGCATGTCTGTTTATTGGTGAGCATGATTCGCTATTTTCATCGTCACTGTTAGGTGCTGAATTTAGCATATCAACTAACATAGCATTCAAAATTCTGTTTTCATCACGCGCTGCCACAGGAGTGGCCGTGGAGGAAGTAGATTGGTTTTCGACATTCTGCGATTACCTAGGTAATTTCAAAAGTCATTTATTCGATTTTTTTTATGATAACCATTATTATTTAGAATATTGCTTCATTAAAATTAAAAATTGCTATTACAAAAAACTTATAAAGGAAATATAATCGAGTCACAAAATGCAGCAAAAATAAGAGGAAGAGGAGGAGGATTTTGTAAAATTTAAAATTTTGTGGAAACGGATGAATGATTTGAGGATTCGTGAAAAAATGAGGAAGTTCCGCATTAAGAGGAAGAGGAAGAGGAATCCTCATCAACCCTACCTTGGATCATGTGATGACCAACTTAATACTTTTTTGTCCATATTTCCTTAATAGGGGTCGCGGCGATTCAACGGAGACGATGAAGTCATGAGTCGTGTCGTCATCGTGTACCAGTTATGTGCTCTCGGGATTTCACGGATCTCTTACAAAAAAGCCTACAAAAAATAATATGTCTACTAATTTACGCTCATAAGAAGTTATACTTCTTTAGCATAACAAAAGAAAATAATAAAAAAAGATATTCCCTGTGTCAGTACTTTTTGTTTGTGAAAAAGACATTAACTACAAGTCTCTTCTTAACCATCTTCATGATTTTTTTTTTTTTTTTTTTATGCGAAAAGTTGTCAAACGAGCAGACGGTTCACCTGATGTTAAGTGAATACCGCCGCCCATGGACATCTGCTACACTCGAGGGTTACAGATGCGTTGACAACCTTTTGAAAATTGGGCTCCGGCTACCTCACTCACCAGACGAAACGCGAAAGTATTTGTCATACTTCCACTTTACGCCGGTCTTCTGTGAGGTCGTGGTACTTACCCGGACGGGCCTGCCCATTCGTGCAACAGCCGAGACTGCTGCGTGGCCCTACCACCGTAAAGATGTCGTATGATGTCGCATTTGACTATCAGTGTGCGCACGCATCGTAAAATCCTTATTCCTATTACTCTAATTTTTTTTAAACGCTCCAAAATTTAAAAAAAAATTAAAAAACAATAACAACATGACAAGATTCAAAAGCGATCTATAAATGATATACCACTTCAGTTTCTAACCTGTTGTTTATTTTGTCGGCTATATATAGGGTGGCTTTTGTAAAGGTGCCCAAATTCGGTAGTTTAATCGTTTATTGAAATAAAAACAAACTTTTTTTTTTCAAAAAATTGCCATTCCTTTCCTTAAAAAACAACTTGTTGACAATTCATAAATGCGTTGTATACTTTTCAAACGAATTTGTTAGATCTTATCTTTATCTTTATCTTTTTTTTTCTTTTTTTTACACTGCCCTTACTTTAGGATAATATTATCCTGTGTTGTAAAGGACGTTTTACAAACATAAATTTCACGCGGACAAACACCCAGATGCGAAACAACTATCTGTGGGTCACACAAATAGTTGTCCCGTGTGGGAGTCGAACTCACGAGCCCCGATGCCGAAGCCAATACCTTGGCAACTGCGCCACGGAGTCATCTAATGATAAGAATGGTCGCGTGTAGAATAAATGAGTTGCCCATAAATCATTGAGATAAGTTCAAATGAATGTATTTAGTTAATTGCGAGTGATTTTAAATATTTATCATAGGGTAATAAAACATTATTTATGTCAAGAATTTAATAAAAAAATAAAAATGGATACCCTTAGAAAACCCTCCCTGATATAATTTTATATCTTCTGTAATTTCCATTGTGCTTTCAAAGACTCTATTTTAACAAAGTTGAAAGTTGTTTGTTGTCTTTAACAATTGGATATACGTCCATGGTTAGGTTCCAATTCCAATTCCAAGTTTTAGGTTTATGGCTCCATCAACATATAACTTGATGATTCATGGTTAGGTTATTGTATAATGAATTGAATGATTATTAAATTTTATATAATCTGTGCTGTGGCGATGTCGTCTTTGTCTATACAATTTTTAGTTAATGGAATGATTTTTATTATTCCATAATTTTTCATTTATGTTTAATTTAAAAATCTGTATATAAAGATGGTTTAACGGTTACATTAAGACCAAGTCAAGTATTATATTTGTAGTACCTAATGGCTTATACAGAAAAGGTTTCCCTTAATGGCACCGCTCTTTCATTTTTGTTGTACGAGTGTGTTAATTCTGTGAATAGTCAGGTATGCATTTAGAAATGTTGAAATTGTTAAAATATTTAAGCATTAATCATGTTTTTTATAAATATTTTACTTTTCAGGAAGGTTTTTTGCTCGGAAACATCACTTCTGAAATAACTAATCACATATCAGATTTGCAAAATGACAGTGCTAGACTGGACACTCAGATATTCATTAGAACAGTACTGCCGTTGCCAACGGTTGCCTTGTTTTATTTTCCAGTAGGAAAAATAAAGGAAGATGTTTTATCAGAAGTGCTTTCCAATACAGCAAGTGAAGTTGTTGGGTGGTATAAATACAGAAAAAACAGTAGCATTAAGCCAACTTTTAGAGATAAGTTAATATCTAAAGGCTTGCAAAAGTACTTTGAAAAGTATCATGGAAAAAAAAATTTTGTTACCTGCAATTTATCATGTAGGACTTCATCAGCAGGTTCAACACATACATTTACATACAGATTTGGAAAAATTAATTGTTTTAATATGTATGAATACATTGAGGATGTTACAGCAAATCTTGGCGAGAAACTGACAGGGTATAAAAAGGCCCACAAAGTTTCACCTCATAGCATATTCAATAAGATTGTCAAAGAGAGCAATGTACAGAATAATAACACAAATGATGCTATTTTACGTATACAAGAGGCTGTTGATGTTAAACTTATCCATGAAGCCAAATTAGCAGCTAAAAATGAAAGTACAATAAGAGAATTAGAAGCCGAGATTAAACATATGAAGACGATTCTATGCGACAAACATATGGTGGACTTGCAGGATGCATATTACAAGTTACTTGAAGAGAAGATGGTAAATAGAGCGGTGGAAATGACTGAAGCTTGTGTTTTTGCTTTGAAATCCCCACCAAGTGTAGATATATTGAGCATTCCTAATATTTTTCTCAATAGGAACAATCTATCTGATAGTGAAAATTTAGTACAATTAACTGAAAATGAGGTCAAGGACAGAAGTCCTAGTCCAGTTTTAACACCATTCTCTTCATCTACACAGCCAACATTAAATTATGCAGCTGCTCTTAAAAAAGGCTCTGATGTGGCGTCAACCAGTGTAAGTTTCTTATTATTTGACATATTTTTTAGGGAATGACTTTAAATGATAAATAAATATACATACTCTGGTAATGAATTGATCGCTTCAGGCTATTTCAATCAGCTTTCTTATATTGTATTTAATATATTCATGTTTCACTAATCACACTATCAAACAATGGTAAAAAAATGGCCTGCTGAGTTTCTTACTACAGTTCTTCTCAGGTCAGTGACTTTTCTTTTCAGAACCAGTGGTAGTATTTGGCTATCAATAAGCAAGTATAATGCTGCTATGTTGAATAAGATATTTAAATTGAAAAATTTAACATGTGATATATTTATTTTTTTTTATCTTTTTTTTTACAGAAAACCAGCAATGTTTATGAGGACTTAATTAATTTTGATGTAGAAGACCAGCATGTTATAAAACCCACATTCATGAATGACAATGCAAAACATTTAGATGATAGTTCCCCTGAATATTGAAGTGCCTTAATGTGTTTTCTTTTGAAATTGTCAAGTTACCAAGAACATCAATGAATGAAAAAGTTATTTGTCACATATTTTTGTTACTTATTATATTTTCCTTGAAGTCTGTTTTTAATAAGAGTTACTTAGTTGTTATGGTTGTTCCACTAATAGTTTCGGTAAAATGGTTTCATGCAGTCATTTAACTTCCTGGTGCTGTAGTGTGATGTGCCCTATGTTATTTTCTTTTGTTAAACAATCAATTAAATGTTGAGCTAATTATGCTAGACTGTTATTGGGAGAACTTAAAAACTATTTTTGAGATTTAAATATGTACAACATATCTTCCAGGGAAAAGATAAGTATTGCATACACATATATGTCTATGTGTTCCTAAGAACTTTACATGGACATAGTAAAAGTATTATCATGAGTCTCTATGCCATCTCATGAAATTGTATTTAATTGTAAAATATGTACACTAACAATACTGTTTATCCAGAGTTTTTCATTTCAGTGAACAGGATAAGTGATTATACAGAAAATTTTAATTACTTAAAAATAAATCCTTAGTGTTAATGAGTACGATGTACAGAATATTTTTTTAATAAAGTTGGCATGTGTAAATGTACTTTGTTAATCATTGTGCAGTTATAATCTGGTTCAATTGAAATTTTTATATTTGATTAGTTAACTTACAAAGATTACTTTCTACCCTTGTCATAGAATTACTCATTAGAGATGATAGATGAAGATATTACTAATTTAATATGGGTGAGTATGGTAAAATAAATAACAAGCTTCAACTTCCCTATTTACATGTATCTAATATCCATTAGCAATGTTAGAAAAACATATACTATGTTTCTATATCTGTATATATTGTTCTTCATTAAATTTTATGAATCAGTGAGCATTTTTATGCTGATAATTATCGCTATCAACGAAAACAAGTTGATTGACGCTAATATTTTCTTAAAAAAATCTTATCAACAATGTGTAACTAATGCCATCTATTGATAGTTTAAATTTAACAGCAAATTAGACTGAAAAGTGTATTTTTTTTTTAAAAAAAAGGACCATTAATTACTATTAGATAAATACCTTTTTTACACATTAATTATATAATCATTCGATTGTGAAAATTTCTTAAGGATCAACTAGTATTTATATAATGGATAATCTATTCAACAGGTTCATATGTTTTATAAGTAATTTAATTTTCTTTACTTTTAAAAGCGTAGTCTCTGAGCGCTTGTTTTTCTCTGAGGCTTGCTTGTTAAGTCTATCGAAGAATAACTTACATTAGTAACTAGTGTTATAATTTCTTCTTGAATTAACTGATGTTTTTGCTTTCAGTCCCGAGACTAAGCTTTAATAGTCTCGGGACTGAACTGATTGTGTTGGTCTCGCCGTGCTCGGAGGCGAGTGCGAACTAGTGTGTTTGTTGTTGCACTAACTGTCGGTGTAGTGTTATCCGGCGAGACCCCCGGCGGTGGGTCCGGCGTATCTAAGTCCCCTTCCTCGATCGGGTCGATTAGGACGTTTCGCGGGCGACGCTTGTTGACGTTCGCGTTTATGTCGGGTTGCGCTTACCACCATAGGGTTGGGATGATGTTCGGCTCTACCGAAGAACCATTTGGTCAGGTCTTTAAAATATTCGCGAATTGTCGGGAGTCGAGCCTATCTGGCACTTTGAGTGTGTCCAGCTTGTAAAGCAGACTTTCCAGACCTTGTCGAATACTTTTGCGACATCGAAGAAAAGAGCCCCTGTACTAATATGGTACTTTACGCCTTTTAGGATATGCTCCGTTGCGCGGAATAATTGATCGGGACAGGAATGTCTAGCTTGAAAGCCGAATTGTTCCGCCGGCAGAAGGCCGTTGGAAAATACGTGCTCATTGAGCCTGTTTAATAAAAGCCGCTCGTAGAGCTTCCCCAGGCAACTGAGGAGGCTGATGGGACGATAACTAGAAGGCTGGTTGGCTGGTATATTCGGAATGCCGATAACCGTGGCTTCTTTCCAGTCGTCCAGAAAGGAGCAACTGTAAAGTATTGTAAATGGTCGCCAGTAAACAGATAAGCGGCCCAGGGAGAGCTTTAAGATTTTTGTTACTAATATTATCTGAGCTGGGGCCGGTTTTGGGTTTTAAGTTTTTAATATTATCTTGGACCTCTTCGGGGGTTAATGAACTCAAAGGATCACCTTCCGGTGGAAGCGCAGCCCTAATCTCGATTACGCGGTCCACCTCCATTAGGTGGGTTGTATCTATGTGTTCGCGCAATGACGTACATTGCTGCTCTAGGTTGTCCGCAAGGCATTCGGCTTTTTCGGAGTCATCTAGGACTACTGAAGCGTTATTAGGTCTAACTAACGGCGGTAGAGATTCGCGGGGGTCTGCTTTCAGACTGCGGGCCAACAGCCAGTAGGCGTTGTGCGATGGCTCGATGTCCTCTAGGAAAGTGTATCGCGTTGTATATCGGTGTTCCGATACACGATCTTTGACTTCTAGCTGAAGGCGTCGAAGTAGGGTTCGGTTCGATTCCGATCGGTATCGGTCGAAAGCGCGTTTGGCTGCATTGTTCTGTCTAATTAGCAGTCGCAGGTCGGGCGAAAAGTTAAACCGTCGGTCGCCCGACAGTTTCACCGTCCGTTCCGAGTCTGCGACTGCGGAAGTAATTCTCGGAGAGTTGCTATCGCTCGATTTGCGTCATCGAACTTAGCTATCGTCTCGGGTAGGTTGACTATGTCCTGGGGGTCCAAGGCCCTGAGTTTGACCTCAAGACGATGCCAGTCCACTACGGATTTAGGTCGGACGGACCGCGCCGGCGTTCTGGCCCAGTTTACACAGGACGGGCCTGTGATCTGAATCTAGTTCATGGATTGTCTCTATCGACTCGATGTCGAGCGAGACCTCCTTGAATAACATGATATCTAGGATACTCGGTGTCGCGTGTTGGTAGTTGTCCACCGTAGGATACCTAGTGGGAGTCGCAGGAGCGATTATGCTAAAGTTTAAATTATCGGAAAAGCTGAAGAGATGCTTTCCGTTGTTATTTGGGATGCTGTGGATGTCCCATGAGCCGTGTTTGCAATTTAGATCTCCTGCAATTATCACGGAAAGGCCTAAGTTGAGTAGCGTATCTAGGTCGCTTGGTAATAAGGTTTTGTTCCCTGAGGTAGGCTGAGACTAGTACAAGCGGCCCATGGCCAGTGAGTGCTAACCTACACGCGGATGCCTCTATATGGCTTAGCTCTGGAATATCGAGTGGGCTAGTGCAAGAACCGTTTGTAATAAATTAAGGTGCCTGCCAGACGGTTTGCTAACCGATCGTGGCCGACTATCTAAATTTAGTCTATTTTAACCCTCAGAATCAGAGGTGTTTTCGTAGGGTTAAATATGACTAATAATAATTGGACTTTCGCGTTTACCGCAAACAGGTAGTCTTTCGTGGTAGCCTTTTTTGAGAGTACTTCCCTGTTTCCACAACCTCGTTCTTGGAATTCTTGGCATTGGTATATCCTGAAGCGTTCAATTTCGCAGTCACTTATAAGGGAAACAAATTGGCTTCTCGGTGTCCTAAGTAGAGCAAGACTACTTTATCTGCCAGCCCATTGCCTGCAGCAATATAAAACGCAGATTCAACCATTCGACCCAATATGGAATAGTATTCTCATCTTTAGGCTGAAGCACCCCATAGCTAGCTCCTTTCATTGGATCGCATCCAACGTAGAGCTACTCGCAACGACCCAAACCCGTAGGTTCTGGCTAGCCCACCGGTTCTGTGTCAGATGAAGCTTTAATAGTCTCGGGACTGAAAGCAAAAACATCAGTTAATACAAGATACTCGCAACGCCTACAAGATCTCTCCGATTTCTTCGATTATTTGTCCTTGCGAAGAGATGTTGCGTCTCTTCGCATCTTCTACCGCGTATATCACTCGCCGCGATAACGCGAATCTCTTATATTTTTTTGATTAATACTAGAATTATTCCGAGGACAACCAGCTGCGGACCTTCATAACCGCACAACGCGCCAAACCCTCAACTACCATCGATGTCACACCACAAACGGCCAATTTGTGAAATCAATCTAGCGGCAGGGCGTCGCAGGCGGCGGTAATCACTAGGTGAACCACAAGCTTGGTGCCGTCTTCTCGCATAAAAAAACGTACTTCATATCACCAAGACTCAGGCTTCCTTAAGAAGAGAGCCTATTCCTAACCTCAAAAGCTTGCAACATATTTATAACTCCTTTGGTGTTGCAAGTTGCCATGACCGGCGGTGATCACTTAACATCGGGTGACCCAATTGCTCGTTGGCCAAGGTGGCCAACGAGCAATTGGGTCACCATAAACCAAAGACGTGGTGCATAAAATTAATAATTATTTTTCTTTAGATACATCGCTAAACCTCGTGATTTAGGACAATATGTAAATTAAATGCAGTAATATTTTAACGGCCTTTAATCACTACATTTGGAATAATGGGAGTTCCTAATCTTATTAAAAGTAATTTCATTAAAAGTTGGCGTGTGCTAGAAATGATGAATTTCAGGTGCGTAACTTAAACATAATTGAGATCATAAAGTTATATTTAATCTAATACTAATATCTGGGTGACAATTAACGAAAAATAACTCATTGAACTATGAATTCAAGTTAAAACGTTTTTTGATAAAAATATTATAATACCTATCTGTGAATTGAATTTTTTTTTAATACAGAAAAAATAACAAAAAGCTAAATACAATACATAAAGTCATTTCAAGGAGTTATACAGGACATAAAGTTATACAGGAGGTATGGTGGTCACTTAAATTTGATTAATATCTTAAAAATAAATAACAAATTAATAATTATAAATTAATTTGTTTGCTAATATACAAAAAATTAATAATATATACATATTTTATAATTGCAACAAAAATAAAAACCTTTCTATGAGGAAATAATGTGAATAAATGTTACTTTTTAAGGATAAACGAATACACACGAAGACGGCGACGAAACAAGAAAGCGAATCCAGCGTTTGGACCATTGTAAGCATTTTTTAAATATATGGAAATTCAAAGTAAGTGTAATCATATTATGGCCTCAATGGGTCGAATTCCACTACCAAGTACGAAATCTTCAGCATTTTTCCAACTTGTCATATTACGAACTTTGCGAAGAAGACAGTTTTTAGTATTGTATATTTCTAATTGCGTGACGTTTGAAAACATTATTCCGCAGACAGTCAAGGAAGTCTATTGTCAGCTTTGTCAACGGTAAATTTTTTGGAACCTTGGAAGAAGTTTGTTCTACCGTCTTTTACATCACATAATTTCATCCACAAACTTGGCCCCGCCGCCATCGCAGTGTGTATTGGTGGATCAAAGGAATGTGTTCGGATATGTAGAGTCTTATAGCAAGTCCGCAGCAACTGCTGGGTTGTCGCCGGCCAACTCGTGTACCGAGTGCGCCAGTCGACGCGCCTGTTGCACCGCAGTGGAAGCTGGCACCAGGCCCAGGTGTATGCAGATCAGCTCCTTCATGCTGACACCTTGGCTATCGTTGGGGAAAGCGAGCTCCAGGAGTTGCCTGAAATAGTAATGCAACTGAGCTATAGGGACTTGCAAACAACTTGAGGCCTACCTAAACACGTGAATCGGCAGCCACCGGCGCAGATCTGAGTAAAGCACAAAATGGCAGACGTCTAATGCCCCTGTAGAAGGAACAGCTGAGCAGTGATCTGTTACCACTTCGCGTACCTAAAGAATGTGGATCGGCTGCCATCGGCATAGGTGTGAGAAAAGCAGATAGTGGCGCCAGCCTACCGTACCAGCTTACCGTAAGGTGGAGCGGAGCGGGGACCTGTCAGTACTTCGCGTATCTAAAAACATGGATATACTGATACCGTCATAGGTACGATAACAGCAGATAATGGCAAGAGCCTAACTTTGGTAGGGCCACGCAACAGTCTTCTCTGTTGCATGATAAATCCCCGTTCGGGGAGGTATCAAGATCTCACAGAAGACCGCCATGAAGTGGAAGTGTTACACTTCTGCGTTTCGTCTGGTGATTGAGATAACAGCGGCCCACTAACACGCAACCCCACAGGTGTTGCAAATGTCCATGGGCGGCGGTTATCACTTAACATCAGGTGAACCGCCAGCTCAATTGCCACCACCTCACACAAAAAAAGCCTAACGCATATGTAGAAGATGGAGCAGAGCGGGGACTTGTTAGTACTTTGCGTACCTAAAGACATGCATCGAATGTCACCGTCGTTGTAAGTGCGAAAACGTAGAAAAAAAAGGAAAGAAAACAGAAGGAAAGCAGGAATAAATAACTATGAAAAAGTAGTCATACAAATAGCTTCTTCCTTCATCAATCTTCATGCACTTGTAGTATTATAATAAAAATAGTTTTGTAAACAAGGGCCCTGAACCGTTCATGTCGGGGGAAGGACTTATAAACGAGAACTGCAGTGTGACGCACCTGTAGTACGAGGGAGGCGTATTTATAGTAACAGGTACAGGTAAATATAATAGGTATCTCGGGGTAACAGACTGTACCTGGGACTGGACAAATTTAAATAATAGTTCCAGTTCCACACGAGTTTGTCCTTAACACGCCGTCACAAGCATTTCTTTATTTATGCTTACGACTGTTACCTTAGTTAGAAAGAGATAAAAACTGTCACACCTTATCACAGTTATTACTGATTACTTTCACTGTTACAAACTCTTTCTTTTTCTTGCATCGGTCTTATAGCTTTGTTAGAAAGAGAAGTACGGACGTTACCATTGTGGCACGCCACCTGAAAGGAAAAAGAATATTAAATAAAAATAATAAATAAATATTAATCGTATTACAAATTATACTTACATATTTCTGCACGAGATGCGTCGCGGCTGCGCTGGAGTTGGAAGCGCCGTTGCATCGCGCGATACAGTAGTGCGCTCACGGCTTCCGTACATTAAACTGCGTCACTTGTACCGATACGTAAAACTTGCGAATCCAGTGCTAACATTTGGACAATTAAATCTCTGTTGTGTATGTGTGAGTTCTAACGTTGTGTATGTATATGTAACATATTTGTTTTAAAGTGTAAATAAACAATCTACCTGTGCTGAACAATTATAGTTTGATTTACAAACGCGACAACTATTATAGGTTTATCTCAAATAGAACCCGAAACCTATAAACTGGTGACCCCGACGTGATCTGAGGACCTTAAAGTAAGACCTACCTGCAATTTTTCAACAAACAAAAGATGTCGCGTCCACGTGAACTCAACCCGGTGAAGGAGACGGTCCCGCCGCATAAGGCCGACACTGAAAATTTACAAACGGGTTCAGAATTATTTCGAGTCGGTGTCAAGGTGCCCCCATTCTGGCCGGATCGCCCAGCTTTATGGTTCGCGCAACTAGAAGGCCAATTTATATTATCAGGTATAAATTCGGATACTACCAAATTTTATTTTGCGTGCAGCAACTTAGATCACCAATACGCGGTGGAAGTGGGCGACATTATTGAGAACCACCCACCGGGAAGGAGATTTTACCGAAGACGGTCAAGATCTCGTTCAAGATCTCAAAGCAGGAGTGATATTTGTTACTACCACAACAAGTTCGGTAGCCGTGCGTATAAGTGCACAAAACCATGTGGTTTCCAGCAGGGAAATGCCAACGGCAGCCAGTAGTGGCGGCTAATGACTGCCTTGATGAGTGCAACGGCCGCCTCTTTATAACAGAAAAGAAGACAAAGATAGAATTCCTTGTAGATACGGGATCAGACCTCTGTGTTTACCCGAAAAAGGCGACCGCAGGCCATCGTAACAAAACAAAGTTCGAACTATTCGCTGCAAATAACACAACGATATCCACTTATGGTTATTTACAGTTACATCTGGATTTCGGGCTGAGGAGAGATTTTACTTGGAAGTTTGTTGTTGCAGATGTAACAAAGCCGATAATTGGTGTTGATTTTTTAAGCCACTACAATTTGCTTGTGGACTGTCGACACCATCGCCTCATTGACAATCTCACCAGCCTGTCAGTGTCCATCGATCATCGGAACATAACCAGGGATGAAAATGTCACAGTTAAAGCAGTTTCTGGAAATTCACCATTTCATGATCTACTGAAACAATATCCAGAAATTACAAGACCTGCAGGTACTCCTACCGTACCCAAACATAGTACCAAGCATCACATCAGAACATCTCCTGGACCGCCAGTGAACGCACGTCCACGCCGACTAGCTCCTGATCGTCTAGCAATTGCCAAAAAGGAATTCGATGAGATGTTGCACAACGGAACTGCACGTCGATCTGAGAGCCCATGGGCGTCGCCATTACACCTAGCGCGGAAGAAAGACGATGGATGGCGTCCATGCGGAGACTATCGAGCTCTTAATGCGAGGACAATTCCAGATCGATACCCAATTCGTCATATTAATGATTTTGCTTACCAGCTATCAGGAGCCAAAATATTTTCAAAAGTTGATTTAATAAAGGCATACAATCAAATCCCTGTAGAACAGAGTGATATACCGAAAACAGCAATTACCACACCTTTTGGCCTCTTTGAGTTCCCATTTATGCATTTTGGATTAAGAAACGCGGCTCAAACCTTCCAACGGTTCATAGACGAAGTGACGCAAGGGATGGACTACGTCTACGGGTACCTAGACGACATACTGGTATTCTCAAAAAACAGATGAAGAACACTTGTATCACTTACAGCAACTGTTTGATAGATTCAAAAAATACGGTGTACTTATTAACACAGCGAAGTGCACTTTCGGAGTACCAGAAGTCACGTTTCTTGGTTACCACGTATCGTCTGAGGGCACACGCCCCCTTTTAGAGAAAGTAGAAGCTATACAGCTACTTGAACCACCTAAAACTGCAAGACAATTGCGAAGATTTCTGGGAATGGTAAACTACTACCGAAGATTTATCGCTCACGCAGCCGAACTCCAAAGCCCATTGAACGAAGCACTCACAGGAAACATCAAAGGAGCAACACCCATAAACATGACGGACAAGATGTTAAGAGCCTTCCACAAATGTAAGGAAAGTCTGACAAAAGCTACACTTCTGTCACACCCAGATGTACAAGCAGAACTAGCTTTATTTACAGACGCTTCAGACGAAGCAATTGGAGCGGTACTGCAACAAAAAAGGAACAACGTGTGGGAACCACTGGGTTTCTTTTCCCGCAAACTTTCTTCAGCACAACAAAACTATAGTCCTTATGACAGGGAACTTCTTGCCATCTACGAAGCCATTAAACATTTCAGGTTCATGCTGGAAGCTAGAGATTTTGTCGTATACACAGACCACAAACCAATAACATTCGCGTTTACAACAAAAAGAGACAAATGCTCACCAAGACAATTCCGCTATTTGGATTACATATCCCAATTTACGACAGACATCAGACACGTGCCAGGCAAAGACAATGTTGTGGCTGATGCACTTTCAAGAATCGAGGAAGTAACTCAAGCAGTAGATTTTACCGATCTTGCAAGAGATCAGGAAAAAGATCCTGAACTGCAAGATCTACTTAAAAAAGATACCGCGCTGAAGCTAAAGAAGTTTCCAAAAAATCAACTGTATTGTGATTTTTCGACTGAACAAATTCGACCTTACATTACACCAAGGTTTCGCAAACAAGTCTTCCGAAAAATGCATGAACTCAGTCACCCAGGTGCTACAGCTACCGCTAAGCTAGTCGCAGAAAGATTTGTTTGGCCTGGAATAAGGCGAGACTGTAAAACTTGGACGAAACAATGCGCTGATTGCCAACTTAACAAAATAACCCGTCATACTTCCTCTCCTTTGTCCACGTTCCCCATTCCGTCACAACGTTTCTCCCAAGTCCACATCGACTTAATTGGCCCACTGCCATATTGTAATGGTTTCAGGTACTGTTTGACTGCAATCGACCGCTTCACACGCTGGCCCGAAGTCTACCCGCTGCCGGACATGACCGCTGAAACATGCGCCAAAGCTTTTGTTTCCGGCTGGGTGTCACGCTACGGATGCCCAGAATCAATTACTACGGACAGAGGTCAGCAATTTCAGTCGCATCTTTTCCAAAGTATTGCAAAACTTATTGGCACTGAGCACCGCCCCACCACCTCATACCATCCTCAATGTAATGGAATGGTGGAGAGGCTTCACCGACAACTGAAAGCTGCCATCGCGTGTCACAATGCAACTCAATGGTCGGAAGCGCTACCTCTAGTGCTCCTTGGCATGCGTGCAGCTTGGAAGGAAGACCTGAAAGCTTCGTCAGCAGAACTGGTTTACGGCGAGCCTATTAGACTACCGGGAGAATTTTTTAAGCCGGCGGCTGAACATACCTTAGATCCGTCTGACTACCTGGAACGGCTGCGAAAACATATAGTTGGTTTAGCACCGGTACCTGCATCTAATCACAACAAGAATAAACCATTCTATATACCCAAAGATATCTGGACAAGTAAGTTCGTGTTCCTGCGCCGTGGTCCTGAGAAACGTCCCCTACAGTCACCGTACACAGGTCCGTATAAAGTCCTAGAACACGGCCCAAAAACATTTAAAATAGAAGTACAAGGCAAAGAAATGACTGTTACAATAGACAGAATAAAACCGGCTTACCTCACGAGAGACGTCATCTGCAGGGACGAAGAATTCCAGATGCCAGTGATGACTACCGCACCCGAGCTACCACCCCCTTCACCTCAGCAAACTGAAAAAAAAGACGAGAAGCGGAAGAACGGTACATTTTCCAAAATACTATCGACCGTGAACCGGTCTCGGTAGGGGAGTGATGTGGCACGCCACCTGAAAGGAAAAAGAATATTAAATAAAAATAATAAATAAATATTAATCGTATTACAAATTATACTTACATATTTCTGCACGAGATGCGTCGCGGCTGCGCTGGAGTTGGAAGCGCCGTTGCATCGCGCGATACAGTAGTGCGCTCACGGCTTCCGTACATTAAAACTGCGTCACTTGTACCGATACGTAAAACTTGCGAATCCAGTGCTAACATTTGGACAATTAAATCTCTGTTGTGTATGTGTGAGTTCTAACGTTGTGTATGTATATGTAACATATTTGTTTTAAAGTGTAAATAAACAATCTACCTGTGCTGAACAATTATAGTTTGATTTACAAACGCGACAACTATTATAGGTTTATCTCAAATAGAACCCGAAACCTATAAACTGTGGCACGGTGTGGCACGCCACCTGAAAGGAAAAAGAATATTAAATAAAAATAATAAATAAATATTAATCGTATTACAAATTATACTTACATATTTCTGCACGCGATGCAACGGCGCTTCCAACTCCAGCGCAGCCGCGACGCATCTCGTGCAGAAATATGTAAGTATAATTTGTAATACGATTAATATTTATTTATTATTTTTATTTAATATTCTTTTTCCTTTCAGGTGGCGTGCCACACCATACACTAAAATACTGTAACAGCTGTTACTATAGTAACAGTTCAACATTGTCACAACATAGTATTAAATAACAGGCTGTTATTTTGTAACAGGTATTTGTCACTGTTACTTTTAAGGAACAGGCGTAACAGGTATTCGATTCAATACATTTCGGCCAATGCCCGGTTCCTATATTAACAAAACGAGACGTTTTCATTACGAGGCCGTTGCATCACCTACTACGTTCTTTACTAGCGTTCCTTTAATCTACAAGTCGTTACAAAAGTTACGAGGCTAAGCAACTAACGGGCGTTCGTTGAATACGGGGATGGACATAGCCTATTACAGCCCACTCCTAACCTGTAGAACGTGGAGCGGACGTCGCCGGGGGGCGGCAGGGCGCGCACCGCCGCGGGGTGGGGCGCGTGCGCGGGGCGCACCGGCCCCCCGCGCCCCTCCCACCACTGCACGGCGCACGCGTGCAGCGCGCCGCGCCGCCACGCCGCCGCGCCGTAGCCCTCGCGCAGGCAGCCCATCGCGCGGCGCACAATCGCGCGCACCTGGGCCACGCTCCGTCATCAAAATCAAAATCAAAATCAAAAATATATTCATACAAATAGACGCTTGCGCGCTCTTATGAATCGTCAAATTTTACATCAAAGATTATGTATATAGGTTCGTAAGGTACCACCGTTTCGGAAAGCAGTTTCTGTTGAGAAGAGACCGGCAAGAAACTCGACAGTTGCTCTTTTTCAAAAGTATCAATTTACAATAAAGTAAACAGGTATAATAGTCTTATTCTAGCCTACGTGAGTATCAACAGTATTAACTCCACACATTGGCGTCGTCGAGATATTCCGAAATGGTATAATATGCTTTAATCATTAGTTGATTTTTAATTAAAGCATATTATACCATTTCGGAATATCTCGACGACGTCATCGAAACGGTCCCCCCCTCTCGCTTTGCGATAGGTGAAGTGGAAATGTTGCACTCCTGCGTTTTGTCTGGCGAGCGGGGTAACCGGGGCCCGCCTTTTTAAACGGTATGGGTGTTGCATATGTCCAGGTGAACCACCAGCTCGCTCGCCATCTTCTTACAAAAAATAACGCCACAGTCAATGTCCTACTCTTCTCACACTACCATAATTTCTATTCAACTAGCCTTTAGCCATCCAGGCGTCTAGCAACTTCTTACGATCAGCTCCGAAGTCAATGCGGTTAACTCCCCTCAAACTAACTCGTCCTTTAGCAGTCCGATGTGATTCAATCCCGAGAGCAATTGTCATGTGCATTCGTCACATTCAGAACCGGATGGGAGATTGCAAGAGACAAATGATTTTAATAACCTCGAGAAGTATTAAATGTTCCATTATGAGAAATCGGAAAGATTAACCACATCGGTTTCTGACCGACCCAAAACTTGACAAACCCTATTAATTTTTGAACTTTTAAGCAAACGATAACCGAAATTTTAAAATCACCTAACAATTATGCAAGGAAACTGATCACTTGTTTTAAGTAAAAAAATTATACTTTTTGGAGAATAATATCTGTCATATGATCTTAAAGGCGGGCTTAAAATTAGGACTGATAATAAATTAAAAGATAATTAAATTTATAAATTTAAAATTAATTTGAAGACCGCCGTGAAGTGTAAGTACAATACTTTCGTCTTTCGTCTGAAGACGTAAAGGTTTGTATTTGTAAAGCATATTCAATCACTCTGTGATCACTCATGGTGAAGTCTAGTGTTGCATATGTCCATGTGCGGCGGTAACCTAAAATGAAAGGCTTTGCTTGCCAACTCTTATAATAAGACCCGGACAAGGAGGGCTTATTACGTGCTTAGCAGCGAAGGAAAACATCTTGAGGAAACTGCATATATTCGAAATAATAACATATTTTTTTATCTCTGAGATATGTGACGTCGGCCAATCCGCAGAGTCAACATTTCTTTATTCAATATAGTTTTTATTTAAGCTTGTCTGCGCCTAAGTTTTTATGAAGCAATTTATTGCACAGACTCAACGACGCATCAATACGTTAAAAAAACGTATTTGAACGTCTGTCAAATTTGAAACGGTCAACAACGCGCTCTCAGCTATTTTTACATTCATTTTTCATTGTGATGTTGTAGTAATCTCCAAATAAATTCAAGATTGTCCAGACACTTTGTATTTGCATTTATGTCCAATAAGAGACAAAGCTCTTATTGATCGTCATAAACTAGACCTGACCAGAGAAGAACCGACAAGAAACTGCGGTCTCATCCCTTTTTTTCTTTGTTTGACGAATAAGTATACTATGCCATATATGCCTTTGCCTAGCATTGGGACACATAATATAGTCGGTTACTGTAATTATACTTTTTACTTTTCTTACCGTGGCCGGTGTCAGCATGTCAGCGCAGTCGGCCATGTCTGGGGCCAAGAACCGGCCGGTGGTTCTGTCCACGTATATGAAGTGTATCAGCCCCGGGAACTCTTCTAGATACTTGTGAAGCGTTAGGGAATTCGCGTCTGTCTCGCCCGTGCACTCAGACCACATTAAGCGAAACAATTGATTTATTTGCGACGGTGAACGAGGGATGGTGGGTGCGAATCAGTTTGAACATAAGCAACGTTAAGTTTGATCCCAACACGGTCGACGATAATGGTTTATGGTGAACGAATACATACAAAAAAAACGTAACTGCGGCTAGTGATGGCTAATTGATAACGTGAAAAGTAATTTAATACAATATATAGATAAATTTGAATTTCTATTATCATTTTCCGATACTAAATTTTTAGATAAGCGTACAGAGCTCACAGCCGTAATCTGCTCCAATCTTTATTGACATGGAAACAGCAGAAGAATTTTCCAGCCTCCGAAGAAGTTTATCGGAGACTTGTTTGAAACAATAAACCCTATATCGATCAAACTACAATCACACGGTCAATTTGCAAAGACCCAAAAGGCTGTCCCAAATTAGTCGATGGCGTCTAAAATAAAAGACGAAGCGTAGTCTTTTGACAAGGATATGATCCCAGGCTGAAGTAGCGCATCGCCTTTACGCGCAGGAACTCGACGTAGGGGGCCAGTAGGCCGGTGAGGTCCTTCAGAGGGCGCTCCAATCGCAATGGGGGGATGTCGGGCTTGAGGAGGGCGAGCACCGAGTCCAGGGCGGCGCGTAAGGCTCCCGCGCCGGCCTCTGGGCCCTGCGGCATCGCTGCAGAACAGGCCTTGCGGAGCTCACACGTCCGCTGGCTGAGCCGAGAGCAGAGCCCCGCGTTCGACTTGCCCTTGCGCAGGGCGTCGGTCATCTGCAGTAACGCAGACGGTTCGTATCAAAGCAAAATGTGTCTTCATTCAACGTAGAAGCACTACACTCACTTGTTGTCAAAACTCTACTACTGGCGCTTCGGAAGAGAAAGGCGGGGACAATTAAAAAATCTGGACACACGACGGACAATATAAAAACACGGGATAATGTTATCCAAGATGAAAGAGCAATGTTTTTGAAGGTAAGACTACAATATTTTTTTATTTTTATTAGAATTTACTGATACATATAAACATAATGACATAAGATGAAGGTAATTAATACCTTTTTTACTGCAACTTCGAGGCTGTCTAGTGTATTGGGTAGCAACTCAACATTCCTTTGCAGTAAAATCCTTTCCAAATTTGAAAGTATCTGACTAGACATATGTGTGGCTATTCCAATATCTCTGCAAAGTAAATTGAGATAAAAGTGATAAGATCTTTGACTGTAACTTAATGACCTTGTTTATACCTAATATAGTTGCAAATCCTGTCTTAAACATGTCCATTAATGCATTATACTGTTTAGTTACATGGTATATAATAGCTATAAAATAATATAAATCACTAGATATGTATAAAATTAATAATGGGGTTGATTTATATACACATATAAGAATCTGAATGTATTGTGGCTTCTTAGTGACTGAGAGCTCACTAAAGAGCTTATCATAGTTCATTGCATAAAGCAAAACCTCTTTTTTTTTTTAAATTTCAACTATGTACAAAATGTTTGACATAACTGGTTCACTTTGGTAGTTCACAAGGAGTAAGTACCTCATCTCCAAATCTACCAACACGACGAAGATGACCCGAGGAGCCACTTGAGCGATGTGCAGCGAGTGTGGCGCGCATGGCACTACTGCGGGGCCCGCGCACAAATGCACAATGGCACTGTTCTGCTCAGAAAGCCCTACAAATCGAAACAAATATCACAAGAAATACTTTCACATATTGTTAATTGAGCTTTCCATAATTCAAAAAAAATATTAATATTTTATTTTGACAAGAAATAACCAGAAAAATATCAATTCAAACACTGTTTGATTATTCTGTTATGAGTGGTCAACCCAACCTATTGATAAGCAGTTTAGTAATTATGCATTCAGCGAAAAGTTTTAGTGCTCGTCAATAGGTTATTAACCTATTGACTAAAACTTTTCGCTGTATTTACTATACAATAGTATTGACATGGTAAAGCAGGAATTTTTAAAGTGTCCATATTTTTAAAAATTAAAAATAATCTTACAAAATAAAATGAGGTAAAAAGCTTGTACCAGATTCAGATTTAGACCCAAATTTTGCATATGCTCTGTTAATATATCTGTCGTCTTTAAAATCACCCTCTATAATGTTGGTGGTAAAAAGGGAATGAAGCCACAAAAAAGAGGCAGAAAATAAATTTAATACAGGATTGCAAGCCCCGGATTTACCTTTTTTGTACACTTATGATAAAGGGGCAAGTGGTACTTGCCATTTTCTTTTTTTTTTTTAATAAAATAACCAAGCAATAAAACTCATTTCCATAATAAACTATATATATAAATTTTAAGCACTTACATGGCAACCAAGAGTTAGGAGCAACTTCATTAGTCTTTGATTCTTTTACATTATTCCAATATTCTTGTGCTGCTATACACTGAATGCTTAGAAGTATTAAATCTGCTGGCATTAAGTCTTCACTTCCACGACTACAAATATTTGTTAATTACTAATTGCATCTATCTGTGCACTTATAATTGTATTAATGGTTAGAATAAAGTCAAGTCACCGTCAATACTTTTAACTGCAACCAATATTAATATGTCTCTTCTGTAACTGTAATTATTGTGTAAATTATCACCATGCCAAAAAGAATAGGTTTGTTACACAATTTTTAACTGATTTACCTTCTTCTTTTTTCTCCTCCCTTATCCCACCAAGGTGTGAGTTAGCAAAACATGTTTATCATGTTCTGCTGACTGCAGTTCACACTTCTTAGGAACAAAAAAAGATCGAGAACAGTTATCTGTGAGTCAACAACAAATACTTGTCCCATATGGGAATTGAACCCATGACCCCCCCACAAAGAAACCAAGCCTTGCCTTGCAACCACTCTACCTCATCATATTAATTATTTTACATTGTATAAAATATTTCATATCATATTACCATAAATTCATAATTATATTACCTTGAATACAATGCAAGCATTTTGTCACCAACAAAAAGCATGAGGTGAAAATGTTGATATGTTGAACATTTAATTTCTTTAGAGATAGTTTTCAGAGCATTGAGAGCCGCAACTGTGGCCCCACTTTCACCAATCACACCACTAGCCCCCGGAATGGAATCTCCCTTAGTACGGCTGTCTAACAGCACCGATAACCAATCTTGATACACAGGAGAATGTAGTCTAAAATCATCAAACTATTTTTATATGGCAACAATTTTGTTTTTCTTTATAGAAAGGTATTGTATATAATTAATGTAGTCAAATTCCATAAATTTTATTGTTCAAACTTACAAGTCAATATTTTGTCCACAAATATGCTGTAACAATGTTTTACAATCCAGAAGTTCTCTATGAGCGTCATCAATATTATCTTTAGTTATAATCATTAACACATGATCAAGAAACTGAAAAGTGAAAGAATTAAAGTATAGAAGAAACAATTTTTTTTTCTTGTCAAATATGAACAATATTTTGTAAACAACATGTAAAATAGTAACACACATAGCAAGTTAAAAAAAATGCATTTTTAACCCTTCATTATGTAGTAAATGTAGTTGTGTGAAACAATTAAAATAAATACTTTGGGTCATATGCATACAATAGTAGGAGAATACACCCAATTTATCTTAATTAATTTTGGGAAATAATAAGACTAAAATTAAATTAATTTTTTACCTCATCAAAAACAATAACTGTGTCATCCTTACACTGCATGGAAGAATAAGTATTTCCAAATTGAGCAGCCATTACACGCTGTGAAGTTATTATTGGTGATAGCAATTGAGCTACCATATAAGTATCAGTGATATTTCCATCAGAATTCTAAAAATGAAAAATATTTTTGAAGTCAGTCAAACATCTTGTATTGTGTATTATGTGCAGTTAAGTTTTTTAACATAATTTTTTTTTAAAAACTGCCCTCTCCTTAGGATAACATTATCCTGTGTTGTAAGGACATTTTTACAAACATAAATTTCACATGGACAAACACCCAGATGCGAAACAACTATAAAATTCAAATATGGCAAAATTCTGTGATTGTTCAATATTTTTTTTGTCAAAAACTATGCGCCTCCGCATGTTGAAACTTTCCGTGTGCTTTGAATGATGTATACTTTCTGTATTATTTTTTTACAGAAAGTATACATTATTCAATCAACTCGACGGACGTCAGTGGAAAACTGAGCCTTAATCAGGATAAAAGGCGGTTATAGAAGTGCTGGTATGTTATATGAAAAAAAAGTAAACAATAATCAAAGAACGTAATATAAGCTTATTATTTAAGAAAATAGTCAAATAAGTTTAGTACATAATCAGTAATACGGAAGGTATAATGAACTAGAACTAAGTACCAATATCAATAATAAAAGTAAGTTAAATTGACTTATTTTTTCCAACTAATTAAAAATTAAATAATGAAATATAACATATTAGAGAGATCAGAATTATAACTTATTAATGAAATAGATATTTTTACTAACCGGTTCATTCAAGGATTTCATACGAAACAAAAACGATTCATCCCATTTTGAAAATAATAAATTGTTAACACTATCGAATATTAATGTAGCCTTCATTATAATTCTTTTTAAAACTTCTTAGAAGATTTTTGTAAGTAAAAGCTAAAACTGTAGGTAAAAAGTGACTATAAGGATATGGATAATGAAAGGAAAAATAAATAACGGGCGGTCTGAGTTCGGGAAGTGGGGGGGGGGGAGGCAAAACTATAAGGCTTATTGAAAAAAGTTAACTACAACTTTTATACTTACACTTTTTTCATATAACCTGAAAATTTATGTGAAAAATTCAAATAACGGAACCAAGTTGTTCAGTTTTTTTTAGTTAGTTTTTGATTTTTATCTTTTACAAAAATGTTATTTTTTTTTGTCACACACTGTACTTTATTTTACACTGTACACTGTACTTATTGTACACTGTACTTTATTTGATTTGAAATTTTTATTTATTTTACTGTATTTTGATACCTTATTGACTCAATATCGAAAAACCACTCTAATTTTCAATCTAAAATTTTCGCGTCTAAATAAGAGCTTTTTAATAAAAAGTGTGTGTGATGTACACGCTTTAGAAGTTATAGTTATTCTTTGGCGTGACGAGATAAAAATCTTTACAAAAATTTTATCTTTCGCCTTAATCTACGTTTGTAGAAAAAATGACACTAACAATAGAAAAAAGGTATTTAATACATTTAAAGTTTTATTATAACGAATTATCTAATAAATGTTTATTTAATTATCTGTTAAATAAAGTTTATTTAAATATCGCGAAGTAGATATCGTGAATACAGTTGTCAGTTCTCACGTAGATGTCTAGCTAACTTCAGGGTGTCGGTTTTTCGTGACGGTGTGCGCGCGCATCGTAAAATTTTAATCTCATCATTTTTCCCTAACGCGCCAAAAGAAGTATAACTTCAATAAAGTTAATTTAAATATCACAAAAAAATATTTCTACAAAAATAAAGAAATGGAAATTTTGGACGGTGGCCTATGGGCCTATGACACCTGTCATAAAGTCGACGTTTGAGTGGCTAACTTCAGGGTGTCGGTTTCTTATGGTATAAAAAAAATATACGTTATTATGATAAATTTTCTCAGAAAATGCAAACATGAAGAACGTAATCATTAGAAAGCATCTTCATTCAATAGTACGATTTACATATATATTACATAAATTATTAATTAGAATTTAATAAATCAACTTTTTTTATTGAAAAAAATTGCAGCAGTCACATTTTTTTCGATGAAATTGTACATAATGATAAAATTATTTATGTCAATCATACTACATGTAAGATACTTCATACTTATAACATTCTTAATGTTTGCATTTTCTGAGAACATTTACCTTAATAATGCATATTTTTTTAACGTAATTTTTTTTTTGCAATTTATTCTTCCTTTTATTTTTATCATATTCCCCTCCTTTTCCAATAAGTTTCATCCTACTGTATTTTTTTTTGTTTTAAAATATTATCGATGCTAGTCTATTATTCATCTATACCTAGCATCGATAATATTAATTAAAACAACAATAAGACACAAAGTTTTATCGAGTGAAAAGTAATTCTTGAACCTGAACTGAAATGGAACGTTTTTTCGCCATTTGCCAACTTTACCGGCAAACGCCATTTTGATTTTCTTTGTTATTATTTGTAATTCTTATTATATCTTTGGCATTGCATTGCAGTTAACAAATTTATTTATTCCGTTTCCCTAAGCGTAACGTGAATGTGCTCGTTAGTTTTTTTGTGTTTAACTCTACGACGACCCAAGTTATTTTCCCGGACTCCGAATTTGATGCTTTTATTTGTTGACCCTTGCAAACAACTTTGGACGCTGATTTATCTTAAGATTGGTTTTGTACTGTCGTATATTTGGAAAATGTCTGAAAAAAAGTGTTGTGTACCATATTGTAAAGTAACACGTGAGTGTATTATCAAAGCATGTTACAATAAATACTTTATTTATAATACCGAGACATAAAATCATCTTGGTTTATCTTGTTTGCCATTTAATATTAAAATAATACTTATCCTTTATATAAATAAACACCAATATCATGGTTTCTAGTGTACTTTATCTGTTAATTTTACGATATTTCTAGGTCAGGATGATGTGACTTTGCATTCTTTTCCGAATCCTGAGAAAGATTCGGAGAGATTTCGATGTTGGCTGTATAATATTGGAGGAGATTTATTAGCTTTAGAAAACCAATATATATACAAGCGGCGAAAAGTATGTCATAATCATTTTGAACAAAAATATCACACATGGACCAAAACATTGACTCACAATGCAGTGCCCACATTATTATTGCCTGGTAAGTTAAACTATAAAAACTATTCTATTTTGTATGTAAAATATACACAGAGTTTACTTCAACTAAGTTTTATCTATTATCCTCTTAAGGTATTTGTAATTTTATTTTGTTATTGCTGCGTTTGCTTAAATGAATAACTTGACATGCTTCTAGAATGGCAGTAGGCATCCCTATTTACACTTTGAACTGCAAACTATTGTATCTGTGGTAAAAATTTACCACAATATGTCTCGTTTTTCAAGCTTGAAAAAAATTTTAATGGATAGAGAAATGTTAATTCATTATTAACATTTCTCTATTATGATACTTATGATACATAAGTTAAAATCCATGAAAAACACTACATTAAGAGAAAAAAAATATCTTTTAATTTCATACAATTGAAATCTGCTATTTTGTTGTCAACATGTTAATTTTGCTCCTATTTCTGGGAGATCATAAAAAAATTAAGCAAATATTTACAATAATTGCTAGGAGGTTTTCTTTTTTTTATTAAAGTAAGTGTTTTCATGGGTTGTAACTTATATAATGTTTCATTATAAACATTTCTCTTTTTTTTTCAAGTTTGACAAATTAGACATAATGTTGTTAATTTTTACCTAAAGTTATATATGTACATTTTAATTCAATTGAAATTATGTTACTGGTGGTACAACTGCTAATTACTAAGTTTCTCTGTTGCAAAGTTTTTTTTAATGTTTACTGGAAAATGGTTGTTTTTATAACTTGTAATTGTTCAACAGGATTATTTTGCACTAAGAAAGCATTATCAGACATAACTAATACAATGAGTATGTACAAGGAAATATCAATACCTGGAACTTCTACATCAACAAGTAAGTCAATAATTGTGTTCTCTTTCTCTCACCTCTCTCTTTCTTTTATTTATAAACTGCACCAACTTACTTCACTACTTTTACTAATGTTCACTACTTAGTCTACACATATTCATGGTATTATTTTAAGTAGTTGTTTATTAAATTATTATAACTGATTCCAAACATTTTCAAGGTAGTGAAGTGAGCATGAAGTACACTGAAAAGGTTCCAACACCGAGTATAATTATTGTGATATGATGCATCTATAAGTTGGTTTTTTTTAATGAATTTTGTATAATGTGAAAAATATTTTAGAATTAAATAAAATAATGTTAAAAACAAAATTACTATTCTCTTTGATTTTTCAGATCAATTAGTATTTGACAGTGCAACTACTTCAAAAACAAAATTAACTTTAAAGAAGAAGCCTGGTGTCATTAAAAAGCTGTCTACTAATTTGGGAGCTATTATAATGAAGTTAAGAAAAGAGAGAGATAGTTATGCAACCAGATTGAAAAAAGCCCTGAGATTATCTGAAAACCCCAAATTTCAAAAGGGACTCAAGCATTTTACGAAACTTGCTGCATTATTTACATTAATGCAATTTAGAGAAATTAAAAAACATAAAATGGGAAGAAGATTCACTGAAGAAGAGAAAATCATGGCTCTGGGTATATATAAACAGGGTC